ATAGAGAATTCACAAGCACACATACACATACAGATTTAAGCCTTTTATATTAAAATAATATTAAAATCTTCTTGTGTAAAATTACTTTATACACTACATTCTGAGTGAACATTCTATTGTCTTTTAAAAGATTTCCTTACTGTCTTCCTTTAATAATAGACATCTTAATACTGTATTGATGTTGTGATCATGTTTCTGCAGCCCTTGATAAAGCCATTTCTTAATTCCACATTGATAAAACAAGGATAAATTGTATGTATGTTAGTTAGATGAGCGATAAAACTTTCTAAATAACAGTCATTAGATTGTTACTTTTGATTGGATAATAGAATGTTACATGGTCACTATGGAAAGATTTTTAAAAATTTGTTATAAAAGTGACACAATGAGGCTATCTTTTATTAAAGTTTAAATTTTAAATTTAATGAAGTACATTTAAAATATGCCATTTGCCAAAATATTTAAAAATGCGACTTAAGGGAAATTCCTTCATCAAGCATGCATGTCATGTCATGTGGTCACTGATGTTACTGCAATGTAAGTCACTGATCCAAAATCAATAAAACATTTATTCTATAGTTAATATTTTTTGCAAAATAAGTAACCTATACTGTCCATTAGAATAAAAAACCAATATAATCAAAATTTCATCAGGATTGGAGAAAAATTGCAGGAGTTATAAGGAACACACACACACAGGTGATGGCTTTTATATTAGTAATGAAACAACCTCTTAAGTGCCATCTGCTAAGGCACTAAATTCTACCTTTGTTAGATTAGTTTGGCATGTTTTAATCAAGGCAATATTCAATTATTATTATTAAGTTTTGTTCTTACTCTGATAGTGAAATGATAAGTGTTAATGAAATTAAAAAGTCTTTAAAAAAATATTAGTGAAGTTTACAAGTTATCTCTTTCTTTTACTTAAATTAAAAATTTTATTTTGTTATATGTACAGTTGACCCCCCTATAACACGGTAGATACATTTCGTTTTTTATGAAATTGATGTTCTAAGAGTCCTTAAATACATGAGCCAATCACAGCCCGGCACGTATGCAGTTTACGGACTACGACTGTTTGAAAGGTTTTCTTCCATAAAATTAATTGATTCTAGACTAATTTGACTCAACATTTCCAAAATACATATAATTTTTTGGGAATAATCCATATAAACTATGCTATAAACAAAAAATTGTAGGATTACTTACCGAGTGTGCATCGTTCGACGACGCCATTGCTTGAGCTTGTTTTCGTTGTGGAGCTTGTCATCGAATGGCGTTCGCATGCTTCCTGATAAATTATTTTTTTCGTGAAAAATTTGCTGAACTTTGGAGACATCATTAATATAAATATAATTTTTATGGACGTTAAATAATAAATGGTTTTTAGTAGGTTCGCTGCACATTTAAACTCAATAGTTTGTACAATATTCGCTATTGGTCTAGATTTGACCAATCCTGTCGAGACATGAGTCAGCGACGATGTTTTACTGAATTATACAAGTTTTTTTAGTGTGTTTGTACGCATACTGTCACAATTTTTTCGCTATCATATAGGAATCCGAACTATATGAACCCGTGTTATAGGGGGGTCGACTGTATATTATTTACTCATTTAAAAAGAGCCATAATTACATATTAAAAGAGCTGCATGCAGCTCTGGAGCCACAGGTTGCCGATCCCTGCCCTAATCTATCCATATTTGGTCTTGATATTCATTATCTAATGCTGTTCTCAAGATTAATGAAGGACAGACAGATGGATGGACAGATAACAGTGGGAATGTATAGATCTGCAATTTGAAAGTTGCAACCAAAAACAAACAAACTCGAATATAAGGGGGCATCCAGAAAATAAAGAACATTTGGCTATAAAAAAAGAGAAAAAATGGTAATGATAGAAAAAAAGTTCTGTTATTACTGGTTTTTTACATAATTAGTACAAGAACAGTTATTTTTCTATGTAGTCACCATTATGATTTAAACACTTGTCATTGCAACACTAGTTTTTGAATTCCTTCATCATAGACTTCTGCTGCTACTTTTTTCAGCCAGTTAGGGACAGCTTCTTTTACCTCATCATCCATTTCAAAATATTTGCCACCCAAAAACTTTCAGCTTGAGAAAGAGATAAAAGTCACTGGGGATCAGATTGGGATATTGTGGATGGTCAAAAATGTCCCAGCCAAATTTCTGAAGCACTGCTTGAGTGGCCACAGCAGTGTGTGGTTGTGTATTATCTTCCTTAATTAAACATTTTCTCACTCTTATTTTGTTCATAATATGATCAGATCACCATACACTTCCACTTCCATGATTTACTTACGAATTTTGATAGGATGAACACTTTGCATTTAGCAGGATTTTCAACTTTTGTACACATTTTGTACACCCTTGACAAAATAGGAACAAGCCTGCCATTATCAAAACTCTATGCATGTTAAGCTAACACATCAGAGAACAAATTGACCTTGAATTGATGGCAGTCATTTACTTGCAGAGTGCTATGCATAAATATTCTTTATTTTCTGGAAGCCCCTCGTAGAAACAATAAGAACTTTATATTCATGACTAACTTGATTGCATTCTCCATAATTTCCTGTTTCCAGTCACAATAATTTCCAAATAATAACTTATTTCTTTGCATTCAATCTTTTGTTTAATATACAGTGGGTGATCAGTTAACAAACAGTTCGGACTACGAACAAATCAGATAACGAACATTTTTGCAAAACATTTTTATGTTCAGACAACGAACACATATTCAGATAACGAACACATCACAGAACAAACACATGAAGAAATGACATAAAATAATGAATACTGATTGGTCTTCCCTTGACTTCAGGCAACAATTTGAAACTTTTCACAGCACGGAAGATGTTGACATCAACACTCAACCCAGTATATACTGATCAGATAGTATTCCTCCAAACTTTGAAACTCCCCCTTGTAATTCCAGCCTTTTATTTTTCTGACAGAAACAATTTTTTTATAGTATTCACAAGACTGTCAGGTGGGCACTTGTTAAATTTTGCATCGGTTTTTATTTTCAAAAGGTGAGGCTATAATAGCAAAGGTAGAGAGTGGGCAGATGTCTGATGTTGCTGGGCAGTATGGCATGAATAGGTGTACAGTAGGCCATCAAGAAGACTCAAGCAGCTAAAAGAGTAACAAAAATCACATCTGAGAAATAAAGAACATTGAAAAGTTCATAATCAATGTTCCCTCTAATATTTTTTGTAGATGAGCAGAGCATATGTTGCAGACAGAGTGAGAAATAAGTAAACAACAATTCAAATGTGCATTGGTGTGCATGCTTGCCTGCGCGGCATATAAATTCTCGTGTGCGGCAACAATTTGAGCAGTGCGCGGTCACGCAGCCATGCAGCTTAGAGGGAACATTGTTCATAATGGAACCTGAAACTGACCTGATAACAGAAGAACACCAAGAACACTTGAATGGAGAACACCGAGAAACTTGGCAAGATATGTTTTTTTTCTGAAAAAGAGGATTAATGCCAACATCTGCTATTAAAGATGTTTTGAAGTGGGAGGATGTCAGAACAACAGTCTTAGAATGGCATCCAAACCAGGTTGAGGTTAATAGGCTTAGGGATCTCTATAACAACAATACTATTAATTACTTCTGAAAAATCCTGAAGAAGAAAGAAAAGCAATCAACATTGGACAGATTCTTTAATGCCCCACAAACAGAAAAAATATGACTGAGAAAAATGCAAGACTGTGTATAAATGTATTTTTATTATTACATATAAATAAGCATAGTAAGAAAGTATATAATTTTTTATTTTTGGGGGTCTCCAGAACGGATTAATCAAATTCCCATAAAAATCTATTGTAAATTGATGATTGGTTAATGAACAATTTGGATAGCGAACATAATCTTGGAACGGTTTATGTTCATTAACCAATCACCCACTGTACAGTACAAGCAATCTTTTGTTTTATATATATGCTTTAATATACATGCAAATGTGCACAATTATTTTAATTTCTTAAACCAGATGCTCACTATTCATTATTACTGCTTATTTTCTATAAGTATACTCATTATCAGACACTGTAGACCAGATCACATTTCAGGAGATAACTCCTAAAAGAAACCATCACCTACGAATTAACTTGTAGTTGGCAGTCAATGTGTTTAATATTAATAATTGAAATTTAAAAATATAAATACAGACAAAACTTGTGCTAGTCTAAATATTTTTGTTTAAAGTTTTTCTAAGATTTGTGAATTAAAGTTTCTATCTAAATATATAAAATTACTTGTCCTGACTGACTGACTGACTGATTGATTCATCATCACCCAGAACAAACCACTGAACCTAAAGAGGTGAAATTTTGTACACAGTTAGGATACGTCATAAAAACGCGCACTAAGAAGGGATTTTTCAAAATTTCCCTGCAGGGGAGAGGGAGAGGATTAAGGCTTAACCTGAAGAATGGTTAAGCCTTAATCCTCTACGGATACTTTCTACGGTTTCTACTGTACTATTTTACATGCGATTTTTTGTTTTCAACTACGTTTAGTCTTCATTGAGTACTTAGGTGTATTAAATTGATAACATTTCAGACATTGTTATAAATATTTTTATATATTTCAATTTTTTAACCAAATGTTCAAACCATTTTAAATTCGAATTTGTTGTTGCATTGGTTCGACTATAGAACAATTGTAAACGTTCCAGAAAATTGATGAAATTGAAAATAGTTTGTTTGATTCTCAGCAATTCATCATTCTCAGTGGTAGGTGTTATATAACAATTACTATGGTTGTTGAAATACTGAATATAAATGTGGTTTGCTTGCAAAATCTACACGTGCAAAGTCACGAGTAAAAGCTAGTTTATTGATAAATGAAAGAAGTTATGAAAGAATCATTAACAAATTATTCTAACAAATAAGTGTTTGTGATAATTGAATTGACAAATATAGTTTATAAAATATATTTTTAAGTATTTTGGTTAACATATAGTTTTAATCATATCGAAAAAACATTTTTAGTACAAAATCTTTAAATTAACATGATTTTATAATTAATATAATTATTTTTTTATGAAAACAGAAGTTCAGAATGTGTTGATACACTTTCATCAAATCTGCCTTCAAATGTGACATATGATTGGGTTGACATTACAGATGAATTTTTTAAAGCCACTGAAGGTATGTTAAATCTTATATGAATATTTTGAATAAATTAATATTTTAAAATCTATTATATGAAAACTATTTACAGAAATATGTACTAAAATTAAATATTTTTATAGTTTTCAGCTGTGTCCTCAGAAATAAGCAATATTTAATATGAAGAAGACAACATATTAACATTATGTTGTCTAATTTTACATTTCCAAAAATCCTATGCGTGACAAAAAGATGAAAAATGTTTTGTCAGACTCAGTTTTTAAAAATAGAATATAATTTTAATGATATGTTGTTAATATTTTGTTCTGTTTACTCAGTTTTGTTGTTGTTGAACTTCTGAGGATCCATTCTGCAAAATTCTGAAATTAGTTGCATGTATTAAAAAATTTTTTTGTAATTTTTGTAATTTAAATTACAAAAATTAACTACAAAACATTTTTATTTATTAATAATTTAAATTACAAAAATTTTTCATTTACTTTATCTAATGCACAATTTATTTCAGAAATATGCTTTGTACATAATTAGTGATCTATAAACATTGTACTAACAATTACTTATTGTGGCATCGTTAAAATGCCAGGCTGCAATTTTTAGTCATATTTTTAATTAATTTAATTTAAAATATATGCTCTCCACTTCAAATTAGTAGTGGCTTGCCCCTGTACATTATGCTTTTCCTTTAACAATAGAATCATGCTGGATCCTTATTCTGGTCATCATCTCTCATCTCTCACAAGCCGGTCGCTGATTGGGTAATTATTTGTTTACATCTCGAGAGATCATTGTGTCTCTCCAAATGTGATTCTGGACAAATTTTCTCTCAAAGATTCTCTCATTTCTCAGAGACAAGTGGATAGTTGTCTTTCGACCTGTCTTTCGTCTTTTGCCTCAATTTTGTTTTATCCAATATGGACAACTGGATACTACTCGTGCTGTACAATCGTATTAGAAAACATTCTCTATCTCAGGAAAGTATATTTTGAGAGCTTCTGATTTTTTTCCAATGACTATTTGGAAACTCCGCTGATTCCATTTTTTTTTTTTTTTAAATTATCCTACATTAATTACTGAACTATTGACTATGATGTTAATCTTACTTAGATAGTTAAGGAGAAATTAGATGATATTTCAAAAAATATCTAAGGATGCATGCTTTTGTAACTTAGGTTATTAAAATTTTTATTTCTTAAGAGACAAATTGATATTACAATCTGTAAAAATGTTATAAAACAAAAAACATAAGTTTTTCAAAATTACATGCTTTATTTGAACACATGCTTTCCTTGCCACATGATCTATAATTATGTACTCTGCATTTTCGAACATTTTACAATTTCATTGGTTAAAATTCTATACCGTGCTGCGCGCAGATAACCCGAACATGTATAATCAACCTAGTAGAATTGTAATGTCATCAACAAAGACAAGATTGTTAAAAGTGACCAGAATTGCCACTGTCTCTGAGAGACGAAATTCATCTCTTGTTTGACGTCATTCATCCTTGAAAGAAGAGACAAGAGATAAGTGACCAGAATACAGCTCCTGGACATCTAACACCTTTTAGGGGAAATTTTTGAATTGAAATAATGGGACTTTTGGTGCAAATTGGAAGTTTTTATATAGTTAATCAGGGTCTCCTGCCCCTAAGCTTTCCATATCTGGTATCAACTTTCATATATCAAACTCCATTCTCATGATCAAGAAAGGCCAGATGGGTGACAGTGGGAATTTATACGTCTACAGTTTTTTTCAAATTACAGCTCAATAATAAATTTTCTTAAAAAGAATAATATTAAATAATAATCATAATATTAGTGATGTAACTGTAGAATGAGGGGAAACTAGGTTAACTCAGTAATCTTCAAACATCTTATAAAATATTGTGTATATAGAAATAAATTTAGTAATGATTGATTACATAATAGAAAGTTATAAAATTGCACACTTCCTACGTGAAACATTATTCTAACACATGTTTTGTGACATCATAATTTCTAAATTCCTTGTGTCACGTATTGTCACATGTTTATCCCCTTCCAAATGTAAAGTATGATGTAATAAAGGTTAGTGAGAATTGCTTGCAGACAAAAATGTGTGTGCATTTCAACCTACAATTTTAATGTGAATTGCCGGCACTTTTAACATTCATAATGCATTTTTCAGGCATTTTAATATACTGTACATATAGCAGTGCATATATTGTGCATGCATATATGCAAATATTGAGATTTTATATGCTCATAAATCTGGCCCTTATTAATAAGTTCTGTTCGACAGTACAAATAATGGAATAGAATTTAAAATTTTTGATTGCTTTATTTCTGAAATATATTGTTTATTACATTAATGAAAAATTCTTTATTATAATTATTCAAAATTGTTAAATTTAATGTTTAAAGAAATCATATTTTATACTATATTCATGGACTGCCTTGACTATTATTATATCATTAGAGGATAACCATCTTTTGGACTCCTGGATTGACCTGGATTAACATGTAGTGTTGTTTTCTATCTGAAATAATGACTACTATTATATCATTACATCAGATGAAAAACGACCCTACATCTATGCTATACCAAGCAGTGATTACAGATACCTGATGGAAGTCAATCCAGGAGTCCAAAAGATGGTTATCCTGTAATGATATAATAGAAATCATATTTTACAAAATACCACACAAAAAAATATACAAGGAAGTGACAAAAGTGCTTTCCAGCCAATATTTCAAAAGCAAAATGCAATCACTATGGATTTTTTTTAATATATTAGAATCAAGCATACTCTAAATGCAGTCACTATTCATCTCCCTCTCATTAGGCTGCTGAGAATGGAAATAAGACACCTATGTCAATTACAAAGTTGTAGAGAATTGCAAAATTTGTAATTTCAGTTTTTTTATTTTCATTCTGAAATATCAAATAGAACCTGGAACAGGTGGTAAAAATGCCCATCTGTGTCCAAAAGTCCACCACTATATAACAAGAATACAATGCAGGAGAAAGAGAAACTGAATATAACATTTTCAGTGCTGTTGAAAGGATCAAAGGATCTACGTGAATAGAAAATATCAAAAACTACTGTATACATTTCGTTGACTTTACTTACCTAAATGTCTGTAACTAGTTGCTTGTGCATAATTATTACATGTTAATTATACAGAGCTCTGTACTGTACAGGTATATAGAGTAAAAGGTTATAGACATGCACTGTTATAGATGGGATCATTTTGAGTGTATAAAATAAAATATGGTAAATATTAGTGGTTTTTTCATTTATTTAATTTTTTTTTTGTATTTTCCATTCAGTTGGATTATTTGATCTTATTTATGATTAATTAAATGTTGCATTCAGTTCCTCGTATAATGCATTGTTGTTATGCAATGGTGCACACAGGAGCAATTTTTTTATCCCTTCTAGGGTTCCATTGGTGTTTAAAATAGAAGGAAGGCTGAAATTATATATTTTGTCATTTTCTACGACTTCTTAATTGTCATTAATACTCTATTTCCACCAGGTATGGAGATAGGCTGAAACTAAGCTAGATAGCTAATTAATAATGAATATAAGTAAATCTCATTCTTTATGACCTAAGAGGAGAGCAATGTTAAAACTTATCATTTAGCACATACTTGACTTAGTGCTATCATTATGGACCTTTTGCCAATGCATACTATTTGTTTTTGAAATAATTGACATGTTGACAGGAGAAAGATTTCGTCACTATCCTGTTTATAATAATCAAAATTTAAAAGTAAGTTGTTTTAATTCTCTAATTAAGATTGATGCCATTAGACTGTGCTGCTAACTCCCTAGTTTAACACTGATTGTTTTCTTACTGAACACTGAAAATGCAGTGAAATAGTCTCTGCATCCTTTTTTTATTTTTAATTATTAAGAATAATTGGCAATGAGAAAACAGTTTTGTTTATAAATTCTATGAAACATATTCAAGTTTAATAAGTTCAAGATATTAAAGTAAGATAATTGTTCTAACAAGTGGAAATAGATCTTTAGAATCAACTATGTAATTTCACAAACAATTTTAACCTTATATATTGGTAGCATTTGCCAAAAAAATTGAAATAAAAATTTTACAAATCAAAATGTAATAAATGATGTGGTGACTGTTATATTTTTATTACAGTCAAAGTTTATGTATTTCCAAAATAATAAAACAGGTTTTAAAGTAAATGCAGAGAAATACTTATGAAATTTTTATCTTTCATTTATTATTATATATTTTGTTACAGAATTAAAACTGGGTGAACTTTTACATGATGAAATGTAAGTTAATTTTTATTTTAATATTAAAAGAAAATAATAATTTAATGTAAAATTAATTAATATAAATTTTGTAATAAAATACAGTCAAACCCCATTTCTATGTTTCTCAGTTGCATGTTTTTTGCAGTTATACATTAAATAAACTTTTTACAGTGACTTGTGAAAATTGTTCATTGATAAATTAATTAAAAACAATTATTCAAAATTTATAAGGAAATTTTACATTCACAAAACATAAATATTTTAAAATTTGGTTAAGATGTCTTTTCCTATATTGAATGCTTCTAGTATTGCTTAACAATTTCAGCTACTTTGTTTATATGAACTGGCACTTTATTTTTCAAGACATTATGCAATACTTTTGGTTTTGGTAAATTATTTGTATGCACATTTTTTCTTTTCTCTTCATCTGTTGTTAAATGTTTAACATATATTTTCTGTTGTCACAATAGTGTCGAGTATTTTGTTTTTTGATATACCAGTGACATGTATTTGTGTCATGATATGATACAACACAAAAATAAAATTTTCTGATTCACAGAAATTTTTTTTCAATATTTTGGAGCATTTTAACACAATCTTAGTTTTGTGTTTGAATATTTATCATATTTTTGTATATGGATTTCTCCTATAATTCTAACGTTTAGCATATAGTCCTACAATACTATATGCTAAAAGTTAGAATTATGAGGTTAGCATATAGCATATAGGACTGACAATTATTTAAGATTTTATCCTGGTTGATGCTTTCAATACATACAAGAAAATGGGCTTATTTTTTAAATTTCAGATAAAACAATGGTATCAAAAGTGATTCATGTCACAGAGGAAAAAAGTGCAAAGAACTTGTAACTTAATTAATTAATATACTGGAACTGTTTACAATTGACACTGTCATGCACACAGAACACCTTTCTTACTTATTCCAGCGTCAAACATGTAACTCTTCTTTTGGAAACAAACATGACAGGTAGTGAAAAACTGCCCTCGTTATTAATTGGAAATCTTTAAAGATTTGATATTTCTGCAATGCCAGGATGTTAACTATGCATTATGCAGCAAATAAGAAATAATGGATAACATCAGATCTTTCTCTACCAGCCTGAAAAAGTTAGACGTTTGCATGATTGTTAAAAACACAAAATTATTCTTTTTATTGACAATTGCAATGCAGAGTTGATGATTTCCACTCTGAATGCTATAACATTTCAACTTTTATCACTAAATACAGCTTTTAGATTCAATGTTTAGATCAGGGAATCATTCATAATTTTTAATTACGATATAAAAAACTTATTGTAAGAAAGATGTTGCTTTACTTTGAACAAATCAGAATTTCTACCAAAATCTGTCAACTATATTGAAAAATGGGTCAATCTCATTATGAGAATGAATAATGAAAAGTGTCATTTGGAGATTTTTGACAATGTTTGCAATGACTTAGCTGTCTGCAACACTTATCTGAAGATAATGATATTGTGGAAGTAAATTATAAACCAGGTACAAGAAATAAGCGGTGGAAAAAAAGGGGAAATAAATCCTGTCAAGGACAAATATCCTGCTCCCCCTATATTAAGGGAAGCCAGAAAAATCAAGCTTTTAAAGGGATTTCTAGAAACTATTAGGAGCAGTCAAATGAAAACGAGACAGACTATATAACAAGTGTGACATGGAAGTTGGTAATGCAGGGAGGAACTATTGGGAATCAGGAAGGAATAGCGTGAATATTCACCGCTGTGCCATTTGTCTGTTATATGTGCTCGAAGTGAGATCGGCAAGTCGTGTGTATGTCCAACATCACTATGGAGGTCTGCTGCTTGTTGACTTTCTGGAACACGGCACCACAATTAACGCACAGCAGTACATAGAAACTTTGCAAAAATTGAAACATGCCATCAAATCCAAACACCCAGGAATGTTGACAGACAGCATCATTCTGTTGCAGGATAATGCCCACCCACATGTTACCAAAGTCGTTTTGACTATGCTGCAGAAGTTCCTAGCGAAACTTCTGCAGCTTAGTCCATACACATCCTCCATACATTCCTGATTACTCCCCATGTGATTTCCATATTTTTGGAGCCCTGAAGAAAGACATTTGTGGCCGTCAATTTGCTTCGGATGAAAAGGTGCTCGCCTGGGTACAATCATGGTTCCGTAGGCAACCACAAACATTTTTCTATGAAGGCATTGACCATCTTGTTTCACAGTGGGATAAATGTATTAACGGTTATGGCAATTACTTTTGAAATAATAAACAGTTTACTTACTTTTTTCCCATCTGTCTCATTTTCATTTGACTGCCTCTAATATAGCATTTATTAAATGAGACACTTTTGGGACTATCATCTAGAATTTATTGTTTGTTGCTAACAAACTTGTGTAACAGACTTTTTTACTAATAGTATCAATTTTTTTTAAATAGTATCAATTATTTTGTACATCTACATATATAAAAAAAAAACAAAAATATCATGTATTTAATAAGTACATAAAAATATAAATACAACTTTAACAAAAGTAAAACCTTGTTTTTGTCTTTCTTTTTACCATTCACACCATCAGCAGTTCTTAAACAATTCACAAAGTTACGGAGACAACCTTCCTTATGAGGCTACTGCCTCTGCAAAAAAATGTAAAATCAGATAAAGCATCCTCTGGTGTTATTTTATTGTTTTTTTACTTAAAATGTGATATGATGACAGTGGCAATAACACCAGAGGACGCTNGGCAGTCAATGTGTTTAATATTAATAATTGAAATTTAAAAATATAAATACAGACAAAACTTGTGCTAGTCTAAATATTTTTGTTTAAAGTTTTTCTAAGATTTGTGAATTAAAGTTTCTATCTAAATATATAAAATTACTTGTCCTGACTGACTGACTGAATGATTGATTCATCATCACCCAGAACAAACCACTGAACCTAAAGAGGTGAAATTTTGTACACAGTTAGGATACGTCATAAAAACGCGCACTAAGAAGGGATTTTTCAAAATTTCCCTGCAGGGGAGAGGGAGAGGATTAAGGCTTAACCTGAAGAATGGCTTCCACTGTACTATTTTAAATGCGATTTTTTGTTTTCAACTACGTTTAGTCTTCATTGAGTACTTAGGTGTATTAAATTGATAAAATTTCAGACATTGTTATAAATATTTTTACAGGTTGGGATATTGTGGATGGTCAAAAATGTCCCAGCCAAATTTCTGAAGCACTGCTTGAGTGGCCACAGCAGTGTGTGGTTGTGTATTATCTTNTTTGTTACTAACATTTTCACATTACACAACATTTTAATAATATAACATAATGAAATATGCTATTAAAAATTTATTTTATATACTAGAAATGGATGAATTTTCATGATTTTATTAATCTTTAATTTTCATTTATACATATTTAGGTTTGGATTGTTTGAAGCAATGTCAGCAATTGAAATGATGGATCCTAAAATGGATGCTGGAATGATGTGTAATCGTGGTAGCAAAAAAGTAATGAATTTTGATCAAGCAGTTAAGGTAAAGTTTTATAATATGGATATTTATTTGTTAAGTAATATACAAGGTGTCAGAAAAGTTACTGTGCAGTGAGAAATTTGTAATGACATTAAAGTTATATGTAAGGCATTGCATAAGAGACCTGTAAATTATGTTTCCTGCATTTCCACTTTGCAGTAGACGATGATACTGTTTACTCAGACGTTCTAGCTTTTGCAAGATTTTTTTGCTGATTGCATAATCTCCCTTAGAATTTGGCTTGCTACTTATCCTGATCTCCCCAGATTTTCAGGCTTCTGGAAGACATTTCCAGCATTTGCTGTAGGAGAAACCACAATATCATAAATAAAATTGCACTTTTATTAAAACTTTACTTAAACATTTTTCACTACACAGTAACTTTTTGGACACCCTATACTAGTTATGCACAAGAATATAAA